CCCTTGATCTATATGAAACCATTTATGAGCAATGTAATGTAATATAATTATGTTGTTGATGTTATACTTATAGTAAAACATTCATTTTTCAGACTTTCAACATAAATTCAATCATGAAATGTAAATGTACTTTTTGCCTGTTGTTTCTGACAAGAATGCATCAGACCTAACAAGGATATATAGAGTTTATGTTTTAATGCACGTTGTTTAACCAAACATAAAGTATTTATGTGCTAAAATGCTCCATCTATTTTGAACATATGTGTACATAATTGAGCACATGCAATTATGTACACTTCAACATTAGCCTTTACTTTCTAAATACAATAGAACAAACACAAGTTTGGATACTGAATGGCGCAGTGACCACCTAAATTTTATTTTCCTAATACAATATGTATCTGATCTGGTTAAGTCCATCAAACTAAAATAATAAAGTCCATCAAAAACACAAGATACACTGCCTGACAGAATCTTGGACAATATCATGTTCTGCAACAAAATAATCTACAAAATATATACAACACATTTAAATACTGTTCTATATAAAACTTAAATACAAATATTTTGTATACAAAAAAAACAAAACAAAAAAAACAAACTTCTACCTATATATATGACGTGCGATTGTGTGGTCACTACCCAGTCCTCGATAACTAAAAAGCCCGTGCAATTACCTTTTATACTGACCGCCAAACCGGTTAACGGCAATAGTTATACAACTTATACAAAATCCCCATTATAAAATTAATGCGCAATCTTTCAAATTCATTCCGCATACTGCACATAAATTCATTGATGTGCTGAAGAACAAAAAACATTGTAGTTTGTTCTTATGTTGTACTGTTACTCAACTGTCCCAGGTTCGGGCGAGGTTTGGTGCCTTCAAACTAGTTTAACCCTGCCACATTCTATATTTGCCTGTCCTAATTCAGAAGCCTGTGATTGAGTGGTTGTCGTTTTAAGCTGTTTTTCATATTGGTTTTTATGCCCCCGCCGTAGCGAAGGGGGCTTTAAGTTTTACCCTTGTCCGTCTGTACGTACGAACATACGTACGTACGTCCCATAATTGGTTTCCGTTCTCTAACTTTAGTTTGCCTCAACCAAATGTTATGAAACTTATACACAATGCTTATTACCACAAAACACAGATCAAGTTTCAATTTTGGTGGCGTCACTTTTACCGTTCTAGAGTTATGCCTCTTTACAAATGGAAAAATTGCTGAATTTATTGTTTCTGTTCTCTAACTTTAGTTTGCCTCAACCAAATGTTATGAAACTTATACACAATGCTTATTACCACAAAACACAGATCAAGTTTGAATTTTGGTGGCATCACTTTTATCATTCTAGAGTTATGCCCCTTTACAAATGGAAAAATTGCTGAATTTTTCGTTTCCGTTCTCTAATTTTAGTTTGCCTCATCCAAATGTTATGAAACTTATACACAATGCTTATTACTACAAAACACAGATCAAGTTTGAATTTTGGTGGCATCACTTCAACCGTTCTAGAGTTATGCCCCTTTATGAATGGGAAAATTGCAAAATTTTAATTTTCTTCTAAATATCAAGTAATTTTTTAAATTGGAGTTATCTTCCTTTGTCCATGATTATAGTTGAATCAATTACAATCAATGCTTTATACAATGCAATGTTTAATTTTGACTTCCTCTGATAAACACAGATCAAGTTGAATTTGGGTAGTGTCACTTTAACCATTATTGAGTTATGCCCTTTATAAATAGAAAGATTGCAAAATTTTTAGTTTCCATTCTGTAACTTAAGTTTGCCCCAACCAAACATTTTGAAACCTTTACACAATATTCATTACCACAAAACTAAGATCAAGTACAAATTTTTTGTTTCCATTTTCTAACTTTAGTTTGCCTCAACCAAATGTTATGAAAATTATACACAATGCTTACTACTACATAATACAGATTAAGTATGAAATTTGGTGGCGACACTTTTACCATTCTTGAGTTATGTGAACTTATGTCCCTTTATAAACATAAAAATTGCTGAATTTTTCGTTTCCGTTCTCTAACTTTAGTTTGTCTCAACCAAATGTTATAAAACTTATACACAACCTTTCTAGAGTTATGCGTGTTTACAGATAGAAAAATTGCTGAATTTTTAGTTTCTGTTCTCTTCTTAAGTTAGCCTCGACCAAATGTTATGAGACTTACACACAATGCTTATTACCACAAAACTCAGATCAAGTTCAAATTTGGGTAGCGTCACTTTTACAGTTCTTCAGTTATGTCCCTTTATAACTATATAATATGCAAGCAGGGGCATCATCTGTGTCCACATGTGGACACTATCCACATTTATTTGTTTATTGTTTTGCATAGTTTGTTCTTATGTTGTGCCGTTACGCATTTGGTATCTTGTGGAGAGTTGTCTCATTGGCAATCATACCACATCTTCTTATTTTCATATAGATATGTATACATAATATATATATATATATATATATAAACAAGTCTAAATTGAAAACAACGTTCAAACCTATGATTGCGTTGGATAAAAACCACAATTTTTATACGTGTGCATGCAAAACAAATTTCTTGGTAGAGGGGTCTAAATACAGCACAAACAACATTTCCCAAAAGACCAAATGAGTGAAAAAGTATATTTTAACAAAACGCATTTGACTAGCAGGTCGAACAACTGATGTTCTTAAACCCTGCTGACTGCCATTGGCGATTGCCAAATAAATGGATCACAAGATGTTACAAAATAGATCTTATTATCAATCCATTACCAAACAGAAAACAACAAACTTGCGGAAAAGATAGTATACCTCAAACATGAGGTGCAAAAATTTGTACACCATATCCGGATTTCGACAATTAATGTCTCTTCAGTGATGTTAGGAATCGAAACGGTATTTGGAAGGTTATATAATTTACCTCAATTTAGGATAGACTCTTGAATTTTGAAAGAGTCAAAATAGTATGAACGGATCATATAAACCAAAAGGCAAATATAATACAAGCCCAAACGAAAAAATATAAACATGTCTAAATTGAAAACAACTTTCAAACCTATGATTGCGTTGGATAAAAACCACAATTTTTATACGTGTGCATGCAAAACAAATTTCTTGGTAGAGGGATCTAAATACAGCACAAACAACATTTCCCAAAAGACCAAATGAGTGAAAAAGTATATTTTAACAAAACGCATTTGACTAGCTGGTCGAACAACTGATGTTCTTAAACCCTGCTGACTGCCATTGGCGATTGCCAAATAAACGGTTCATAAGATGTAACAAAATAGATCTTATTATCAATCCATTACCAAACAGAAAACAACAAAATTGCGGAAAAGATAGTATACCGCAAACATGAGGTGCAAAAATTTGTACACCATATCCGGATTTCGACAATTAATGTCTCTTCAGTGATGTTAGGAATCGAAACGGTATTTGGAAGGTTATATAATTTACCTCACTTTAGGATAAACTCTTGAATTTTGAAAGAGTCAAAATAGGATGAACGGATCATATAAACCCGAAGGCAAATATAATACAAGCCCAAACGAAAAAATATAAACAAGTCTAAATTGAAAACAACAGTAAGATTTGTCTATATATATATATATATATATATATATATAGACAAAATCTTACTGTATAATCCTGTATAAGACTGTATTTATGTGGTGCTTGAAGAGTTTACATATATAGTTCAGCATGTGTTTTTGTTGTCCACTTGGTCATTAATGGTCATCTTCACACTTTCATCAACAGAAATCATAGGACATTTAAATGCCATACTTTGACATATTGTCAATCAGAAGTTTATCATTGTATTTACTAGTTTATTAATTGAAGTCATTGATTTTTGTCTCACCTTGAGGATGTCACAAAGGAAAAACTTTAGTTTTCGGTGTGATTCCTATTGCTCAGTCTTTAGTTTTCTATGTTGTATTTTGTATACTGTTGTTCGTCTTTTGGTCTTTTTCCTTGTTTACCATGACTTTGTCAGTTTATGTTTATATTGGACTTATGAGGTTGAATGATGTCCCTTTGGTATCTCATTTAGTACTACTGTTTCCAGCATCTGTGATGTCAATAATGACTTTTGCATAGTTTACATGTTAAAAGTTTGATTAATAAAAAATAAGAAGAAGTGATATGATTGCCAACTATGCACATGAGACCAAATGCTGTAGATGTTAGCAATTATAGGTCACTGTACGGCCTTGAGCAATGAACAACTCCCCTTAATCCATTTAAGATGAACCACTAGTGGTAATTAAGTCAGTGATATTTCATGTTTTTGGTATGCAGTTGTATTAGCATTAATATGCATGTGTGATAATGATTTTACATAAAGATTAAATGACCTTGCCCCTCAGTCATTGACTTTAAATCTTTAGTATAGATTACTAATTGGGTCAGTTTAAGGAAACCACCTATGGTAAGTCAGTGATTTTTGGTTTGCAGTTGAATTAGCATGTGCACATCTCATATCCATGGAGATTATTTGACCACACCCCCTCAGACCTCAATTTAAGATGAAACACTACTGGTAAGTCAATGATATTTGATATGCAGTTGTATTAGCATTTGCATGTCTCATTTTAGACAGAGATTATATGGCCTCACCCTCATAAAGTTTCAATGTCACAAGAGAAAATGTCTTGACACCATAAAGGAAAGTGCTTGTTGTACAACGTCAGTAGTTCAAGTGTCGCAAATATTCGGGTCAAGTGTCGCAGTTTCCCAAATAGGGATATAGTGTATTGATGTTTGAAAATTATAAAGCATGCTCTGCAGTCTGAGTCTTAATCTTAGCCCCTTTTTGAGTTTTTAGGAATTAAGTTATTCCAGTATTCATGATAAAGTAAGTTTGTCATTTAAATAATTAATACATGTATAATAACGGGACAAAAATTTGATTGGGATTTTTTTTTGGGGGGGGGGGGGGGGTGAAAACTTTGAAACTTATCTTTTATATTAATTTGATATTTTGATTTTTGTAGATGATAATGAAAGAAAGATGAGAATGGCAAAAGTGATGCATAATCGCCAAAAGAGGAAAGAAAGTGTTGAATCACTGACAACATTAATAAAAACAGAACCAATGGACCAAGAACCAGATCAATCATGTCAGTATGCTACTAGTACCTCAGGTCATTGTATTAATTCCCCCTCACCAGACGGTATGATTGACATAACAAGTACAGTGGTCACACCTGCTATAAATATAGATGCACTTGATATTGATAAAAAGTTATGTCGCGTTTTGTCAAAGAGGGAAGCAGAACTGTGTGAGCACTTAACGAACGGATATGCTTCAACAATGGCAAATTATCACTGTGAAAATTTAACATCCGAGAGTTATACAGATTCAAATGATCTTGTCAATACATCAGAACAAGCTGTTAGAAGGTTGATACAGTTTGTTAAATTAATTGAGGATTTTAAAGAGTTGAGTCAAGAAGATCAGATAACTGGTCTGAAATCCTGTGTTTTACAGTCGTTAATGTTACGCTCTGTTTACTTCTTTGATGTGGAACAAGAAGGATGGCGGACACTGACAGGACTTATACCTGCCAAAGTTTTGAAAGATATTACAGGCTATTCTGACCTGTACGAAACTCACACAAACTTTAGCCGTGAGATGAAGAAAACATGTAAAGAAGACATTACTGTGTTTGCAATAATCCAGTCCATTATTGTTTTTAATCCTGAGAGTGTAGGATTAAAGAATTTACAATTGGTCTCTGATATACAAAACAGATACATTGTATTACTTAAGAGCTATCTTGAGTATAAGATCTCTTTTGAGTATGCTCAAATTTATTTTCCCGTGTTTCTACGTAAAATTCAAGAATTAAAGAAGATTGGCAGTGACCATGCCAAAATTATTCTTCAGGTTCAGACATCAAAGATAGAACCATTAATGCTAGAAATTCTGAACCTGTCCTGAGCTGTTGTACGCTGTATGTATTAAGGGTCATAGAATATTAATGACAATAAGATGCCTAATTATTGATTTAAAAGTCCCAGATATCTATGTATATAAGGTTGTCTTTATGGATAGTTGTCTAATTGGCAATCATACCACATCCCCTTTTTTATTATTGGTGCATGTAAATAGATTTTTTTAACAGAGTTCTGAATGAAATATATTCTTGCAAATTTTTAAACTAAGAGCCTGTTGAAACTGAAATTTTATCACACATGATGTCATGCACCAGTGCATTTTATCTACAGTTAGCGTTAAGCTTTGTTGTACTTTGATTAATTCTTTTCTTTACAAATATACACCACAATGAGTGATAAAGTAAAGCCTACCTTGGATGTGAAAATTCATTTTTATACGCCTGTTTACGGGACGTATTATGGTATACCGTTGTCCGTCCGTTGTCAACCTGTCGGACAATAACTCAAAAACCCTTGAACCAATTCGAACGAAACTTTGGTGAATTGTAATATCTATCGACGTGAGCTCCCTTTAGTTTTTTATAAATTTAAAATTTTAAGTTTCCGAGTTTTGGGGTTTTTTTTCATTAGAAAAGGGGGATTTTCCAGTTTTCGGACAATAACTCAAAAACGCTTTCACCAATTTGCAAGAAACTTTGGTGAATTGCTTATATCTATTGCCATGAGCTCCCTTTTGATTTTTATAAATTTTAGATTTTACGTTTCCTAGTTATGGGGTTTTATTCATTAAAAAAAGGGGGGTTTTCCAGTTTTCGGACAATAACTCAAAAATGCTTTCAGCAGTTTTCATGAAACTTTGGTGAATTGTTTATATCTATTGACGTAAGCTCCCTTTCAATTTTTATAAATTTTAGATTTTACGTTTCAGAGTTCTGTGATTGTATTTATAAAAAAGGGGGTATTTTTCAGTTTTCCGTCAATGCTCTGAGCAGTTATCATGAAACTTTGGTGACTGGTTTATATCTATTAAGATAACCTCCCTTTAGTTTTTCATGAATTTCTGATATGACATTGAGAAGTTATTGAACTTTATTCTTTGAAAAAGCGACGGGCGTATCATGCTCATGGCGCAGCTGTTTATTTTAAGTCTATTTAACATGTTTAATTGATATTTTGAGTCTATTTTTTAATCATTCCTTTAAATGAAGTTATTGACTAAATTTATATGTTCTTTGTTATTGATGTTATAATCATTCCTTAGTTATTTATCATAAGTATACTCTATAAATACAGAAACTAATGACATGTTTTTATGCCCCACATACTATGTATGTAATATGATGGTAAGTGGGCATTATGTTTTCCAGTCTGTGTGTCTGTCAATCTGTCCATTCCACCGCTTGTCTGTCAAACCGTCTGTCACATAACAGGTTAGATTAATAGGTTTAAAAAGGTTTACCATGAACTTGTGGGCACATCAACTTGAAATGCATTCATTATGATGTAAACTTTTAAAAATGATATGCCAAATTAGGGTTTGACCCAGATTTCACCTGTCATATATCAGGTTAAATGACTGGTTTAAAGAATTTTACCATAAAGTTATGGTCACATCAATTCTGAACAATTTTAGAAGATACCTTTATACTGACCAATTCTTACCATTGAAACAATGTTTATGCATCTTTGTTCCATTTTGCTCATAATGTACTTTGACAATCCATATAATTAAAGACAACTAACTTATTGAAACTCTCAACACTTGATAACCTGGCAGTGTAGTCCATCGTAGTAGACTGTGTTAAGAAGAATTAGACTTGCCATTTGCCAGTTTCTAAATGCTAAAACAGGGGGAATGTTTTTTTGTTTTCATTTTATAATTGATACTTTTGAATTGTTTAAGATTTAACAAGTTTAGCTACCATATTGGTAAAAATGTTAAACACTCACTAAGTGTATACTTTATATGGAATCTAATACATGTATGCAATGTTTTCAAATGCAAATTTTTATTTCACAGACTTATATCTGCTTAAATCAGTAACTTCTGGTGTACTTTAAAGTCACTTAAAAGTACTAGTTCAGGAAGTTTTGAGTTTTGTTTTTATTTAATGTTAGCAACTGATGTCAATTTAAAAAATGTAATATTCCCTTGAGGCTTTATTTCATTGAACATTTTAAGAATTAGGAATTTGTTTAGGTCGGTTAGTTTACGTTTGACCCTTATCAGTTCATTTGTGTAGGTGACACTGTTTGCACATTATAGAATGTACTTGTCATGCTTTAGATATAGCCATTGTAAATATTTATATCTGAAGTACATCTGTACTCAAACTGATAAAAACATTTACATTTTTATTTGTTCTAACCCACTCAGATTGTATCTACATTAATATTTGATCACAGGAAAAAGTACATCATGAGGATTTTTATCTTGCTCATTGAAGTGAATCATAGGTTTTATTTTTATTGTTGTACTATGTCATTTTGAGTGCATAAAAATTAAAAGCATTGAGTGGGTTTGTAGTTTATGTAAAATCAATGGAGCTTGTACTTTACATTGAAGCAATATAAAATTCGCCCATGTCTATATATCAATTCTAATAAATTTATCTTTTTTCATATTTTGATCATGAAAATCTTAGTTGGGGATTAAAGTTTTTTTTTTTTTTAAGTGCAATATATCATATATCATGTATATTCAATAATATCATTTAGTTATGCAAGTATTAGTGTTGAATCTCTTAAAAACTTTCACCATGCATTACCAGCTAGAAACAAAAGAAAGGGAAAAATTTCATATGGTTGTCCAAAATAACTAAGTAATGAGATAATGGAACTGACAGATGTTTAAGACTCCTTACACCAATATCCATTGATAAGATTAAATCCTGTAAATGTGACAAGTAGCTCAACAGACAGAGGCAGGATTCAAGGCGATGCAGCAGGCACACACCTCTCTCAAATCAGGAAAATAAATCCTAGATCCACACCTAACAGAAGCTGCTTCCCCTTCAACATACGAGAGCTCACTTCGAGTATTTAGTTGGTGTCATGATGCCAAATATCTTCTCTTTATTGTTTTTGGGGTTTGCTTGTGGGTAGAGTGTAGTAGATCCTCATTTACTCACAATCATGATCACATACTTGGTATTGTCTTATTTTTTATTGCTATCAATAGATTAACACTAAAACCATGGTAACCACCCTGAGAGGCATAAATAAGCTCTCAAGACTTATCGACTTGCATTTAAAATTATATTTTGCATCATATATCATGTATATGATATAGGTATAAACTGTATACAGTGACTGAAGGAATCTTATCAATATGTTATTTTTAGAATTTTTTCAGAAGCTCATCATTTTTAATGGGCCTTTCTCTTAAGATTATTTGTGATTTTTTTTAAGGGACATTTTAAAGAAAAATTAGACAATTGCTGGCCAATAGTCACTCATCGATGTACTGTTCGGGAGATTACTTCGGAGGTTTTTTTTCTAACATTCCAACAAAGCATGCATCATTTGATAGGCTATCGAAAAGATCAGAGACTGAAAATATTGAAGGATATATACAATATTCATATATTGAAGGAAAATATGAAATTTATTTGTAAGAGATATGAAACAGGGAGAAAAGCATAGCTAGACAAGTACAAATAAATTTGATATTACTAAAATGTTTGAATATTGTTTATACCTGCAATTAAAAGAAAGCAAACTAGAAAGAATATGTAGTTGGTTAACACACAGTTCTTTACTTTAGGTGTTATAAAGCTCTCTATTTTCTCACTATTTCTCTAAAATCTTTTTTTTTTTATAAAGTTATTTGGGAGATATTGATAAGACCAAAGAAAAAATGCTAAAGGTCAAACTTTCAAAACTTACCTTCAGCTGTTATACAAATCAATTTGCTAAAAGGACAACAGAAAAAAATCAATTAAGGCTGTCTTGAAGTCTAATCACTTTCCTGAAAACAGTAATGTACTTTTAAAGGTGTTTATTTTATGATGTAATGTAGACGGGAGTTCCTGATTATTTGTGATATACGACGCTTGTATCCTGAAATCATTACACCAGACCCGTCTTTAGTTGGATAAAAGATAAAAATAAAAAATGATATCTGTTATCAAGTTTATTATTTCCATGGTGATTGCTTTATATGCTTCTCTCCATTTTTGTTGTACGTTTTTTTTTGGTCATATTATGAAAGAATTGACCATATATTACAGATTTTTAATTATTTATATATAGAATAACGATGGAGAATTACTTTGTTAATTGTCTTTGAATTTTATCAACTTTGTTACTATTTATAGATATTATTTATTAGACATGTTTTATAGAGGATAATCAGCTTTTTGACAATTATGTGGAAATCCCGGTGTTTTTAAACAAATTGTATTTTAATACAATGTAGAAGTGAAACTGAGTAATATGTACAGTGAATGTCTAGATATAGATATAGAACAGAAATTAAAGTGCTAGTTTGTTTCTTGTCATGGGATGATTTTCTAATATGTATTCTTTTCTCCTATTAAGAAATTTTAAAGGAAAGGAAAAAGATACTGTAAATTCAGAAACTAATGTGAGATTTTTATAAACATGATTAATGCAAATAATGCTACTCCTTCAGTAATCGCAATAATAAGATCTTGCATTCTGATATATGATACATATATATGTATGAAGCTTTTCCTAAAGTCACAATAATTGAACTCACATTTATGTTAATTCTTCAAAAATTGCAATTATAAATGCAGGCAATAATTTCTGAATTTGCAGTAATCCATTAGGGTTAATGAATGGATTAAGAGGAGCAGAGAGTTTGTATTCCTCTGTCCACCCTTCCCTTCCCCAATAAAAAAAATTATAGAAATATGAATGCAAGTATAAAGAAAATTTAAGTTATATATTTTGGTTTAAAATCTTAATGATTAAATACTGCCATATTTTAAATATAGATATGAGGTATCAATTGTAAATTTTTTAGGAAATAATTTAGGTGATTATTTTTTTCTACCTTGCAGTTTAGTTACATAAAGATCAACCAGTCATTTTCTTTACTCAAGTCAGTTTCTTCACATGTCATTTAACTTGTTTGAATTTTAAATTAATGGGCTGGAAACTTGTTTATCTCTATGTTATCAATTTTTATTTCAGTCTAAATTATTTTCTATTTAAATTAACAATTTTTAGGCAGAAACATTTGTTTTTAGTGTCCAATAAACACAGATAAACTAAAGGTTCATTGCTTCATTGGTTTAATTGTAGGTAATATCCCATACATGTGTAAGTGAATGAATGCATTATATGCCCATCTTTGTAAATACTTAACACTCCCAAAACATAAATGATTTAATTATTGCTTTCTAGAAATGAAGACAACCATCAATGTCTAAGCAAGAGATATTTCAAAATTGTTATGTTTTAGTCTCATTTGCAAGCATTGTACCTGAAGTCTATACTATAGGTATATGATAGTTATGTTGTTCTGGCAACCTAGTAAATTAGATGTACAAAATTTGTCATTCCTATAGATAACTATGTGGATATTTGATTGGTTGAGACTATCTAACTTGAAACTGAACAAAACATGGTGTTTCTACTGTCAACATGTTGGGATATCATGCTGTTTTTGGGATAAAGATTACATGAAATGCATCCAAAACCGTTATTTCTCTGGCTTGTTAGCTATATCTTCCCAGCTTCATTTATACCTTTGAGAGCTAAAACAATAAAGTGCATTAAGATCAAATCCATTCCCATGTCAAACAATTGAGTTATAATATATACTTAGAAATTCAAGTTACAAAATAGTTAGTATGCGTATGTGTATAACTTTACTTGTCTAGAAAACTATTTTATTATGCCCACGGGGCATTAAGTTTTATTAAAAAAAAATGTGCATGGTGTATTGAATCTATCTTTTCTAAAAAAAAAATCAAGTTCATCTACAAAAAAAAAACAAAGCAAGATAGCTCCAATTCATAATATTTCCTAAATGTGTTTCATTGCAATTTTTTTTCAGTGTTTAGTTTAAATCCTCATCCAAAATGACAGCAATCTTTACCCTTCAGTGCTCACAAGCACTTTGATTAAAGGTTGTGCTTGAAATAGTTCCAGAAAATCCATATTTTGTATACAAATACGAAAACTAATATGAATACTTTATTTCTATATCTATATCTTCACATATGCATACTCACTATTTAATTTTTTGTAACATGAATATCTAAGTATATATTATAACTCAATTGCTTGACATGGTAATGGATTTTATCTTAGATCCAATTAAGTAGATACCTTTCTGTTTACCAAGGTCATATTTTGTCCTTGACCTTTAACCATGTTTCAGAGATGTTCTACTACCTTTTGCCAAAAAAAACCACCACATTTTAAAATTGCAATACAAATAAGAAATTATCATCACCATTTTCTGAGCAAGTCTTGATGTACAGCACCAAGCTTCATGATGCCATGTCATACTCTTTGACATGTTTTTAGTTCATTTGATTCTACTTTCTGTATGTCAGTAACTTACATCTTTAAAAAATTAAACTTATATATACTCTAAACCAACTAATTTTTGAAGCAACTTATTTTCGAGATTTTGGCATAGAAGTTGGCTAGAAAGCACTTAACACGAAATAAAATATATCCAAAAATAAGTTGGTTTACAGTACAAAAATGTATATGATTTAATTGTATTTCCTGCAAAATAGAGTCAATAGCATTGTGAGGCAGAATATAATTAGTGGGGCAATAGCCCACAGGGAATCCTATTTTTCTCCTTTTTGTAATGTGTTCCCAATGATCATGATGAAAAAAATCTTTCCAGCCAATAGAATCAATTTTCATAAGCACAAATTTATTAGGAAACCAATCTTGCATGCAGAACCAGGTATTATATTATATAAAACATGATGCAAAGGCAGCATAATGTTCAGTGCCATCTTCATTTTGATTAATTTGAATATTATTTTAAGCCATTTTTTGAGATTTTATTTTCTTTTTAATCAAGGCTTATCAAGGTAAACTTTTTTCATTTTTTTTCCATTCAAATTCAAAAGTATTTTCATTCAAATTCAAAAGTAGTGCTTAAATGTACATATATATATATATATTTATACAAACAAATGAGGGTGTGGATGGGGGTTTACAGAATAGAGAATAATGGGCCAATAATATAAATAGAGAAAAATGGACCCAAAAAATAAAGAATAGAGAATAATGAGGTGCTAAATATAAAGAATAGAGAATAATGGGCAAAAAGTATAAAGAATAGAGAAAAATGGCCTAAAAAATTAAAGATTACAGAAATGAAGAACCCCCCATCCAGGCCCTCACAAATAGCTTTGTGTTTTGATTTTATTTACATTGTTGTGCTTGTTCAATGTGTTGTCATAATATATGAGGTGTAGAAATAGAGTGGAAAGGGGGAGGGGGCTTCTGAAAGTGATGAGCACAAAAAATAAACTTCTATAGTCTTAGTTTAGAAGTTATCATTGTCCACTTTCATTTTTCGTTTTCATTTTTTCTCTCCAAAGAGTGGGAGGGAGATAATATTAGTTACATAGTTTGCTAGTGACCTTATACGATATATATGGGGTCAGTAAATTCCATATGGGGTGAGAGCGAAGCTTGAATCCCCATATGGAATTTACAGACCCCATATATATCGTATTAGGTCACTAGCACACTATGTAACGAATTTATCTTACCGACTATCTTAACATGTGGTATTTAGACTAGTGGCCTATCATAGTGATCAAGTCTTCAATACCGTTAGAATTAAGAACCTACTTCCATTACAAAAACAAATGCCAACAATAACAACTTGTTAGCTTTAAATGTGTTTTATGAATTTATTTCAATCGTTCATCATCAATTTCTTCGTCTGTTGAAATCTTTAAGATTTTTCCTCAACACCGTGTTGTTTTTAAAAAGGGACGTGACACCACTACTAACCGTGTATTGAAATGAGCCCCGCCTACTAACCCAATATGGAATATACACGGTCTCCACACGGTTGCTTTTAACCAATCATATTCCTAGAAATGTATAGGAGGTAAAGGAGGTAAGATAAAAACATATGTTGCCCCCCCCCCCCCTCCCTTTTGCAACCTGGTTTCCTATGCCCCAGATATTACAATACTGACATTTTTTACCCAGGGAAAGAATGTAATGAGCTTAAAATTTCTTTTGTGCAACAAATAAATCAATTTCCTTTGGAAAGATTTTTCATTAAACTTACATGTAAAAATAGTTTGTCTAACTGGCCTGAAGTTGGGTTAAATGATGCCTTTATGATTCTACCAAGAACTGCGGTCGATAACACGAACTGCAGCTTTTTCTTAGCTAAACCACGAAAACAAAATTTTGTCCCTTTCAAAAAACTTATTTTAAATGCTTGCATGCATATTGCCAATTTAATATTCCAAATGCCTTAATAAATTTAAATTTTAAATTACTAGAGTTTTGTTTTTTTGGGTGTTTTTTTTGTTTGGTTTAGACAAGTTTAACTATAAATTTAATGATCCATATACAAATCTACAATATTTTATATAACTCTGGTAGTGCAGGTGTATGACAAATACAGTCTCCACAAATGTGATTTTTTTTTCAAATGGAAGTAGGTACACCTCCATTGTTTGATAATGAATATTATCATGAAAATAAATATGAAAAGCATATATGCATAAATATATAGAGATTCTTTTATCTTCATGCCCTTTGAACTTATAAAGTGACTAAGCTTGAAAACATATTTAAAGAATAAATTATAAGATTACCTTGGTTATTCCTGAAGTAAATAAACGACCTTTTAAACGCTGAAAAAAACAGTGTCACATGAAAAGAGTTACTGTTAATTCAGAAATTTTGGCATGCATTTATTATGAAGATAGCTGGAAAATGGACACAAATGCTGATTAATTATTGCGATTTCAGGAACTGCAGCATACAAACGATGCTATCAATATTTGAAATGCAAGTTTTTTTATTTTTTCGACACCTATACAGTAGCAGTTTTTTTCGCAATAATAAAACAACAAAAAAATTTCAGAATTATCAGTAGCATGATTCTGCTTGTCCTTTTGTGGAGGCTGTATGAGGACATCACTTTTAAATGTAATTTTTTTAACATTTATTGTTGTGTTGTTTTCTCATTGACCTTCACCTGACATCTCCCGTCTCCTCTTTTTTATTTGGTGATATTAAAAAAAAAAATTTAACAATATAAAAATATTTAATACAGAACAAAAATATGACCAGTATACCACTCCAATTTTAGGTTAAACAGGAGATTTTTTTTACTGTGGCCAACACATTGTCAATCTATTGTTTTAATATTCATTTTGTAATCATGCTTGTTAAATGGTTTCATTTTATGTATTTTTCTATCAAATTAAAATAATAAAAAAATTCTTTGTAATTGTTAATAAATATATTGTAGAATTTTTGTCAATTATGAAATGTCCCAAAATGTGATTAGTTGCTCAAATACATTGATTATATTGCTCACCATACACATGTATAAATGGCCTTCTTTAACTTTATGTAACACAGGATTGGATTTTTAGTTAGGGTTGGACTTTGGAATTGGTACGATTTTAGTTTGGGTAGGTTTAGTGTGGATGAAGGCTGCTATAAGAAATAGCATTTGTTAGAGGTATATCAAAGAAAACAGATAGAAATAGTGTCACCACTTAATATAATTAGCTTCACCAAAAGTTAAAGAAGGTTGTATTTTTTAATGTAAAGTTTCATTGTTTGGTCACAATTTAGCACTGCAACTGTAAGAAAGCATATGTCTATAATACATTGTTCACATCATTCATTTTCATAGGAAACATTGAATACAGAATACTTTACCACAAAGAACATAGTTCTTTCAATCATGATATGTCATATAGAGAACGAAATGCTATTGGACTAATTATACCCTCCGTCAGTCCTGTTCTTGTCATCGCAATTCCTCTGAAACCACACAACAGAAATTCATGAAACTTTGTAGATAACAAGGATATACTATGTAGATGTGCATATCGACAGGAAATTATGATTCAATTTTTTTTCTAGGTGTTATGCCCCTTTGCACTTATTGGCCTCAATATACTACTGCACAGTTTGTCATCGCAACTCCTCTGAAACCACACAACAGAATTTCATGAAACTTTGTAGATAATAAGGAAATACTATGTAGATGTGTATATCGACAGGAAATTATGATTCAATTATTTTTCTAGGAGTTATGCCCCTTTGAACTTAGAATTTTGGCCTAAATATACTACTGCAACAGTTTGTAATCACAACTCCTCTGAAACCACACAACAGAATTTCATGAAACTTTGTAGTTAATGAGAATATAATATGTTAATGTGCATATCCACAAGAAAATTTTTATCAGTTGTTTTTTGTTGAGTTATGAGTCTTTGAACTTAGGAACCTGGTGAGATTTTGTGTGTCCAGTGACAATGTTGGGGCATGGGGTATGTGAGCGTGCTCACAAAGGTTCTTTAATTTTAATGGGTGTTAGTATGGAATCCTGACCATTGGATTAAGAGAAGTGGAGCTATTGCCAACCCTAATTACCTACATCCCTCCCTCCTTTCTGTATGCATCTTACAATTGACAGACTGTTGGCTAATTATCTTTTGTTTCATTGTAAGATGGTGCCTGTTGGAATCCTTTTTGTAGCAGGTTATTTTTCCTTGTAAAAGCCATGAATCATTAAACATGAAGGTTACACTTCATTCGAGTTTATTAAAGTATCAGCACCTTTATTCTAAACCTGCTGCTATCCAAGACCATTGTGATCTATATAGTCGTATCAAAATGAAAATTTAGACATAAGGGGGAAAATATAAGATTCTTGTAGCAAAGTAAAGGGTGGTCAATTTTTTTTCTTAAATAGCTATCGCAAAAGTATATTGAATATCATTTGCAACTAAAAACAACATAATGTCATATGCTAGTACATGAATAGCCTTAGTTTTCTCGTTTGAATTGTTTTACATTTGTCATTTCAGGGCCTTTTATAGCTGACTATGCGGTATAGGTTTTGCTCATTGTTGAAGGCCATACAGTGACCTATAGTTGTTCATTTCTGTGTCATTTGGTCTCTTGTGAAGAGTTGTCTCATTTGCAATCATACTGCATCCTCTTTTTTATAATTATTCAAAATAACTGCATGATAATCATTGGATGAAAATAATAATTAGAATACACTTAACATGTATATATTCATTGTGCTTTTAATATTCTTAATGCTATGTATTTATAATGGAGAGGGTGTTGGTCAATTCTTTGTTCATCAATAATGGTAAAAGGGTTCACTGTTTTGACCAGAGACAATAGTGCTACAATTGAAGATAAAAAATATTTATTAATATACATATTCATTAAATGGGATAAATTGTCTTCATGGCAAAGTGAACTGAATTAGATGTAGATCTCTGAGAGGGGAAACAGTTATTAATCACTGCTTTACTAGTAGGCACTGATGGGATGTACATGTAGTAAAGTTTTATAGTCGAAATTGGATGATTTTTTGCTGAAGTTGTTTTTAGTGACTTATTGTATGATAGGGTATTCTATCTGTTCAATTTGTATTACAGCTTCTAGTTTATGAAATAGACCTTTGCTTATTACCATAGGATTGAGTTCTCCTTGAAATTATGTTTAATGTATGTGAAGGCCTATCATTGATATGTAAAGTGTAAAGTGGCAGCTAAAATTTGTCATTAAGGCTACCTCAATTTTAACTGTGATTTTGGTATTTTTTTTATGTACAAAATTTTAACGGTAGCCTAGTTCTAAATAAAAGAACGTCTGACATATTATTATTCCACCTAAAACAATTGAATTAATTTCAGATAGACTGATTTCTTTTGATTAATAAAGGGAAAGTTAATTAAGAGTCATGATAGCTCCTCTAAATGTGTACATTAAGTTTATAACATAGAATTATAGTGGTAATTATTGATGTTCTTGTGAAATTGTCAGAAAGAATTCTGTTGAAATGAATGGTAGGGTGTATCATATTTTAGACCCTTTAACTACTATGACCAATATTGTTTTTTTCTTCATATTTTAAGTTAATGTATCAGGCAACTGTTCAGACGTTTTATGTTTCTCTCCTTATAAGGAGAAGTAATACTTGTTAAGGATCAGAAGATCAAATCTGAGATATAAATTTACCTGTAAAAATGTGCAAATATTTATTGCAGATTTTTTCTTCTGTATGCAATATTGATTTAAAAGGATGAGAAATAAACATTTACCAAATTTAAAATTGTAAAAAAGACTGAACTAGAGTTTTTTAAATATCTTATTTGATTAAAAAGATATTTGAAATTTCCAGTTTTTTTCATTCGTCAAATTGTACTATAATTCATCATAAACATGGAGATCAATTTTTATTTGAGAAATTATAATGTGAAGTCATTAGAAGTGGAGTACTAACTTTTATGGGTTTTATGGGTAAATGTGACTTACCAATAAAAGCGTTCTTCTAAATACAAATTTCTAAAAAGCTTGTATATAGAAATTGTAAAAACGCCAAAAACAAGTATTAACGAAACATAATTTTTCATGAATCCACAAAAATTGAAACTCAACAAAAATAAATGAAATAAAAAAGAATTTTGTAAATGACTAACTTATATAATTTTTTTTTAATTTTCATTAAATCATATATAAATGCTCAGATGAATACGGACATTAGTTGCTGACATATCATTTGGAGAACATAATGGATTTATTGTATGTATATGTAGAATTATCTGTGAATTCATAGACATGTGCCTTTATTGTAATATCATAAATTTTGTTTGTTATTAGTGAAATGGAAATAAATATTGTTAACACAGTTATTGTTATTATTCATGGCAAATGTCTCATTTTATGTCTTGATTCTGATTATTTTATCCACAAAGAGTAATACATCATCTCAACCAACATTTTGTCTCACTGCTGGATGTTCTGCAACAAGAAATCAATGAATTTATTCTACTTTCAGAATGTTTTTCTTCCTACAGACAAGCACAAACAATTGTACTTTTACCGTTCTAGAGTTATGTCCCTTTTCAAATGGAAAAATTGCTGAATTTTTTATTTCCATTCTCTAACTTAAGTTTGCCTCAACCAAATGCTATGAAACTTATACACAATGCTTGTTACCACAAAACTCAGATCATATACGAATTTTGGTAGCGTCACTTTTACCCGTTCTTGAGTTATGTCCCTTTATAATGTTATATGCAAGCGGGGGCATCATCTGTGTCCCATGGACACATTCCCCATTTATTCAAAATTTGATTTGTGTCAAGTTCAAATCTATATTTTTTATACGACCGCAAAAAAATTTTTGTGGTCGTATATTGGTATGACGTTGGCGTCTCCGGCGTCGTCGTCGTCGTCGTCGTCCGGCGTCGTCCGAAGACACATTGGTTTTCGCACTCTAACTTTAGTTTAAGTGAATGGATCTTTATGAAATTTTACCACAAGGTTCAATACCACAAAAGGAAGGTTGGGATTGATTTTGGGGGTTATGGTAATAACAGTAAAGGAATTAGGGGCCAAAAATAAGCATTTTTGTAACTTCCAGACATAACTTGTGTGTTAGTGTATGGATCTCTCTGACATTGTACCACAAGGTTCCATATCACTAAAGGAATGCTGGGATTGATTTTGGGGGTAATTGCCTCCAAATTTTAGGAATTAGGGGCCAAAAAAGGGGAAAAAAACAAGCATTTTTCTAGTTTCATGACAATAACTTGTGTGTAAGTGTATGGATCTTTCTGAAATTGTACTACAAGGTTCCATATCACAAAGGGAAAGCTGGGTTTGAGTTTGGGGGTAATTGCCCTAAACGTTTAGGAATTTGGGGCCAAAAAGGGGCCAAAAAACACATTTTTTTCTAGTTTCCAGACAATAACTTGTGTTCAAGTGTATGGATCTCTCTGAAATTGTACTGCAAGGTACCATACCACAAAGGGAAGGCTGGGATTGAGTTTGGGGGTGATGAATCATAATGGGGGTTCAAAAAATTTTGGGGGGGGATTTATTTTTTTTTCCTTTTTTTTCTTTTTTTCCTTTTTTGTTTCTTTTAAAATTTTCCATTTTAAGTTGGTTATTTCTGATTTATATTTAAAATCAAATAATAATGATATGGTAGGAGATACACACCAAACAGGATGTGTAAATTATTATATAATAAGTATTGTGCAATAGCAAGAAATCTTCAATTGCACAGTATTGCGCAATAGCAAGAAATCTTCAATTGCACAGTATTGCGCAATAGCAAGAAATCTTCAATTGCACAGTATTGCGCAATAGCAAGAAATATCCAATAGCACAATATTGCGCAATAGCAAGAAATTGTCAATTGTACAGTATTGCGCAATAGCAAGAAATATTTAATAGCACAGGATTGTGCAAAAGAAGATACTTCCTATAAATTGCTTATTTCTTGACCAATTTCAATGGGGTTTTATTCTTGATTTCATGGGGTTCTTTAATATGCTGAATATAACCGTGTATTTAGTTTTTGGATTTTGGGCCCCGTTTTTAAATTGGTCCACATTGAGGTCCAAAGGGTCCAAAATTAAACTTTGTTTGATTTCATCAAAAATTGAATTATTGGGGTTCTTTGATATGCCGAATCTAACTGTGTATTTAGATTCTTAAATTTTGGTTCCGTTTTCAAATTGGTCTACATTAAGGTCCAAAGGGTCCAAAATTAAACTTAGTTTGACTTTAACAAAAATTGAATTCTTAGGGTTCTTTGATATGCTGAATCTAAACATGTATTTAGATTTTTGATTATGGGCCCAGTTTTCAAGTTGGTCCAAATCGGGGTCCAAAATTAAACTTTGTTTGATTTCAACAAAAATTGAATATATGGGGTTCTTTGATATGCTGAATCTAACCATGTATTTAGATTTTTGATTTTTGGGCCCCGTTATCAACTTTGTCCACATTGAGGTCAAAAGGGTCCAAAATTAAACTTTGTTTGATTTCATCAAAAATTGAATTATTGGGGTTCTTTGATATGCCGAATCTAACCGTGTATTTAGATTCTTAATTTTTGGTTCCGTTTTCAAATTGGTCTACATTAAGGTCCAAAGGGTCCAAAATTAAACTTAGTTTGATTTTAACAAAATTGAATTCTTAGGGTTCTTTGATATGCTGAATCTAAACATGTATTTAGATTTTTGATTATGGGCCCAGTTTTCAAGTTGGTCCAAATCGGGGTCCAAAATTAAACTTTGTTTGATTTCAACAAAAATTGAATATATGGGGTTCTTTGATATGCTGAATCTAACCATATATTTAGATTTTTGATTTTTGGGCCCCGTTATCAACTTTGTCCACATTGAGGTCAAAAGGGTCCGAAATTAAACTTTGTTTGATTTCATCAAAAATTGAATTCTTGGGGTTCTTTGATATGCTGAATCTAACCATGTATTTAGATTTTGGATATTGGACCATAATAGGTGAATGTCCAATTTAAAATTTTTAAGTTCTTAGACCACATTCAATCTGTGTTAGAAACCTATGCTGTGTCAAATATTTAATCACAATCCAAATCCAAAGCTGTATCAAGCTTGAATGTTGTGTCCATACTTCCCCCAACTGTTCAGGGTTCGACCTCTGCGGTCGTATCAAGCTGCGCCCTGCGGAGCATTTTATTTCAAATTGATTTTATAAATATCATTTTAAATTATTGAAAAATTATTTAAGTATACAGTGTCTTATTTAGACTTTTATGTAATTTTTGTACATTTCAACAGCTTTCTCATTTTGACCTTGTAATTGATATAAATACATGGGAAATTGGTCGTATTACTTTTAAACATTTCACAAAAGTACATGCACTGACTCTTAATGTTAGGGAAAAACTGACAAATGACGGGTCAAGTTCAAACCTGTCATATTTTCCATTTGGAAATGGCTCAGTTTGCTGAATCCTGTCATCTATTGGGACTGGGGCATCTATGTTCAAGGACACTTTCTTTTTAAAATTTGTGTTCTAGAAATATAATGATTTATTTGTTTTTATACAACCCCAAAAAATTTGCTTTCGTATATTGCTATCATGTCGTCATTGTTGTCCGAAGACATTTGGTTTCCAGACGATAACTTTAGTATAAGTGAATGGATCTCTATGAAATTTAAGCACAAGGTTCAATAGCACAAAAGGAAGGTTGGGATTGATTTTGGGGCTTATGGTTTCAACTGTTTAGGAATTTGGGGTCAAAAAGGGGCCAAAAAAGGCATTTTTCTAGTTTCTGGACAATGACTTGTGTATAAGTGTATGGATCTCTATGAAATTGTACCACAAGGTTCCATACCACAAAAGAAAGGTTGGGATTGACTTTGGGGGTTATGGCCCAAACCGTTCAGGAAATAGGGGCAAAAAAAAGGGGGGGAAAAACAAGGTTTTTCTGGTTAATGGACAATTACTTAAGTATTGTTCTATGGATCTCTATGAAATTGAAACACAAGGTTCCATACCACAAAAGGAAGGTTGTGTTTGACTTTCAGGAATAAGGGGCAAAAGGGAAGGGAGGAACAAGGTTTTTCTGGTTTCCGGACAAATACTTAAGTATTAGTCAATGGATGTCTTTGAAATTGTACCACAAGGTTCCATACCACACACAGAATGTTGGGGTCGATTTTGTGGGTTGTGGCTTTAATCGTTAAGAAACTAGAGGCCAAATAGGGGCCAAAAACAAGACTTTTCTAATACTGGCTTAGCTGGTTCTAACATAAATTATTTCTGACCTATATAAAGAAACAACAAATACTGATATGGCAGGAGATACACACCAAACAGGGTGTGTAAATTATTATATTTAGTTTGTAAACAGATTTACTAAGTATTGCACAACAGCAAGAAATCTTCAATTGAAAATAAATACAAATCTATTAACCAATTTCAATGAGGATTAATTTAAAGTCTTGAATTGTTTGAGGTTTTTACCATATATTACTATATTGGATATTTTGACATTTTTGAATAGTTCACATTGATGTCCAAAGGGTCCAAAATTAGACTTTGTTAGATTTCATCAAAAACTGAATTCTTGTGGTTCTATGATATGCTGAATCTAACTGTGCATTCAGATTTTTGTCTCACCTTGACAGAGTCAAAAAGGTATGCTGTTTCCGGCATCAGTGGCGTTGCAGTGGCGACGGCGTCAGAGGTGTCAACAATGTATTAGTTTGTGATTAGGTCTAGTTTAAGGTGAACAACTAGAGGTTGGTCAATGATATTTGGTATGCAGTTGTATTAGCACTGGCACATCTCATTTCCATGGAGATTATTTGGCCCTGCCCCTTCAGTCATGGTTTATTGACTTTGAAACTTTTGCTTAGTTAACATGTATTAGTTTTTGATTAGGTCAGTTTATGGGGGAACCACTAGTTGTAAGTCAATGATATTTGGTATGCAGTTGTATAAGCATTGGCATATCTCATTTCCATGGAGATTATTTGTCTCTGCCCCTCAGTCACGGTCTATTGACTCTAAAACTTTTTCTTAGTTTACATGTATTAGTTTGTGATTAGATCAGTTTAAGATGAACCGCTAATGTAAAGTCAATGATATGTGGTATGCAAATTTATTGGCATTTGCAAGTCTCGTTTCCATGGAGATTATAAAGCCCCACCCCCTCATCATGGTTCATTGACTTTGAAACTTTTACATAGTTTACTAGTCAATGTGTGTGTTTAGGTTTGTTGAAAGGGAATGACTTATGATAAGTCTATGGTATTTGGTATGCAGTTGTATAAACATTGGCACATCTCATTTCCATGGAGATTGTTTTGCCATGTACCTTCAGTCATGGTTCATTAACTTTG